CCTTGCTACGCCTTAACCTAAGAGGAGGATGGGGAAGAGGGAATAGATCGGCTTGAGGAGGACGCCTAGTATGATTTTGTTTACCCTCAGAGCGAGGATGAAGAAGATGTTGGGGATCGAGATAGTGAGTGTATCGGTGGTCGGGGTGATGACGTCGTTGGAGGTCGAGTTGGTGAAGGTGCAGAAGGCCGTGATGGCGATGGCCAGTAGTTTTTCTTTTTAACTTTTTTGTGTATTTTTTCCAGCGTCTTCAGGAGCCTTTGTAAAAAAACTCTTCATTTACATGTGAAATAGTAAAGTTGTTTCTTGCACCTTCTTCCATTCCTATGATTTGTTTCTACACTTGTATATTTTTTCTTCTGTTGTTTGCTCGTTATGCTTTCTGCTCTTTTTATTATTGTTGCTTGGAGTCGAATAACTATGGTCCATATCAACCTTTATTTACATAGATCGAGTATTTCTCTTTGTTTAGATTTGGCTGATAGGTGTTGTTTGGACTTGGTCAAATTTGACCCTCTGGTAAGTTGTGGCCTAAGGGCTAATAGGTGTTATTCGAGCTTAGTCGAACTTGAACTTTTATCAAGTTATGGACGACAGCCGGTATGTGTTTGTTTGAGATACGTCGAACCTAACCTTTCCTTAAATTGTGGCCGAGGGCCGGGAGGTGTTTGTTCGAGCTAGGTCGAACTTAACCTTTTCTTAAATTGTGGCAGAGGGCCAATAGGGGTTTGTTCGAGCTGGGTCGAACTTAACCTTTCCTTAAATTGTGGCCGAGGGTCGATAGGTGTTTGTTCGAGCTGGGTCGAACTTAACCTTTAATTAAAATATGGCCGAGGGCCGATAGGTGTTTGTTCGAGTTGGGTTGAACTTAACCTTTCCTTAAATTTTGGCTGAGGGCCGATAGGTATTTGTTCGAGCTGGGTCAAACTTAACCTTTAGTTAAATTATGGTCGAGGGCTATAGGTGTTTGTTCGAGCTGGGTCGGACTTAACCTTTCCTTAAATTGTGGTCGAGAGCCAATAGATTTTTGTTCGAGCTGGGTCGAACTTAACCTTTTCATAAATTTTGGCCGAGGGCCGGTAGGTGTTGTTCGAACTTGGTCGAACTTAACCTTTAGTTAAGGTGTGGCCGAGGGCCGATAGGTGTTTGTTCGAGTTGGGTCGAACTTAAACTTTTGTCAAACCGCGGCCGAGGGTCGGTAGGTGTTGTTCGAACTTTCTCGAACTTAACCTTTTGTTGAGGCGGTTTTGATAAACGTAGGTTGCTATTACTTTGGCGTTGTTTCTCTAATTACATAATTGGAGAAAGTTACAAACTTTGGGCATTGGCTGGCATTCCTAGTCCTGGTCTATCTAGTCCCTTCATTATTCGCCATGAAGGGTCTTGAGGAGTCGGGAAATGAAAGAGAAATCAGTCTGTTCTTCGCATACTTCGACTCGAAGTGTCCCTTCCGTCACCTCACTAAAAACCTCCTTGAGAAAACCCTAATGGTAAAAAACTCAAGTGAAGGAAAAAGAGTATGACTTGGGGGCGCTTCTACTTTTTAGAAGTTGAAGTATTTAAGGTGACTGATATTCCAATTTTTCGGTAACTGTTTTCCTTCCATTGTCTCTAGTTGGAATGAACCCTTGTTTGCATTGCCTACAATTTTTTATGGGACATCCCAGTTTGTTCCCAATTTGCCTTCTCGCGAATCTCTGCTTGCTTAGGTTTTGGCTTTGAGTACGTAGTCCTCGACTATGAGCGGCCGGACCTTTTTCTTTTTTGTTGTAGTAACGTTCCGCTTGCTACTTTTGGGAGACCTTTCTTACGTACGCCATGTCTCTTCGTTCGTTAATCTCATCGAGCTCTTGTCTTCTACTCTAGTCATTGTTGGTGCCGGTTTCATATAAGTACCTTAGGTTGGGCTCTCCGACCTCGACTGGTATAATTGCTTCTGTTCCGTAGACCGGAGAATGGGGTGTCTCCCCTATGCTCGTCTTCGGGGTGGTTATGTACGCCCATAATACTTCTGGGAGTATTTCCGGCCACAGCCCTTGGCTTCTTCAAGTTTTTTCTTCATGATGTTTAATATGGACTTGTTGGAGGATTCTGCATGCCCGTTGCCCACTGGGTGGTAAGGGGTTGAATGTATCCTCTTAATGCGCCATTTCTCAAAGAATTTGGCGGTTTTCTTTCCCGTGAACTGGGGTCTGTTGTCGTAGCTGATCTCCTTGGGTAGGCCAAATCGTCAGATGATGTTTTTCTATATGAAGGTGATTACCTCTTGTTCGTGTACTTGGGTGAACGCTCCTGCTTCTACCCATTTAGAGAAATAGTTAGTTAAAACTAAAAAGAATCGTACATTACCTCACGCTGGTGGGAGGGACCCACAATGTCCATCCCACACTTGATAAATGGCCATGGAGAGGTGAACGAATGAAGGTGTTTGACCGCTTGGTGGGTTATTGGAGCGTATTTTTGACATTTTTTGTGTTTCTTCACGAATTCTGAGGCATCTTTTTTCATGGTGGGCCAATAGTACCTTGCTCGTATGAGGCATCTAACGAGTGCTCGATTACTAGAATAGGCACCGTAGTGGACTTCGTGGACTTCTTTGATAATGCGCTGGGTTTGGTTTGGACCCAAAAACTTCGCTAGAGGGCCACCATATGTCCTCTTATATAAGTCGTTATGAAGGGGGTTGTATCTGGCTGATTGCATTCTTAGTTTTCTAGCTTCTTTTTTGTCGCTTGGGAGGGTGTTGTCTTGCAAGTAAGTAATAATACAATTGCGCCAATCCCAAGATAAACTTACAGATCTTACCTCGATTTGGTCTAGTGACGATTTGAAGGGGTGGACTACACCATTATCCTCGGTTTTGATGCTTTTGGTGGTTGCAGCCAATTTGACAAGGCGGCCTGCTTCAGTATTCTGGCTTGTGGATTTGGTCGAGCTGGCATTCATCGAATTTGGGCAGCAACTTACAGATCTCGACTTGATATTTTTGCAACCTTTGCTCTTTGATTTGGTAAGTCCCTATAACCTGGTTAACCACGAGCTGAGAATCACAGCGGAGTTTCAGCCACTTTGCCCCATATTTGAGTGCTAGCCTTAGCCCTGCAATTATGGCCTCATACTCGGCCTCGTTGTTAGTCATATCTAGGCACCTTATGGATTGGCGAATTGCCTCGCTGTTAGGGACCTCGAGTACGAGTCCCAGTTCAACAACAGAAGCGTTAGATGCGTCGTCGATGTATTGGACCCAGACGTCTTGTGTTTGAAGAGAAGCCAGAGCAGCTTCTTTCTCAGCCTCGGGCATTACTTTTGCATTGAAGTCTGCGATGAAGTAAACGAGCACCTGCAACTTTATCGATGTTCGAGACTGGTATGTGATATTGTGCTTGCTTAGCTCGATGGCCTACTTGGCTAGCCTCCCCGATAGCTCAAGTTTATGTAAAATGCTTTTTAAAGGAAAAGTGGTAACGGCCGAGATAAGGTGGCACTGGAAATAGGGTCTAAGCTTTCGTGAAGCTACGACTAGTGCCAGGGCCAGATTCTTAAGGTGTGGGTACCTCGTATTGGTATCGATGAGTGTTTTACTAATATAATAAATAGGAAATTGCATACCATTATTTTCTCGGACAAAGATCGCACTTACTGCTACTTCGGAGACGGCGAGGTAGACGAGGATATGTTCTCGGTTCAGGCTTCGAGAGTAGAGGCGGTGATGAAAGATACGCCTTTAGCTCTCGCATAGCTTTTATGCAATCAAACTTCCACTCAAGGCCATTATCCTTTTTGAATACGCCGGAAAATCTGTGACATCTGTCGGATGACCGTGAGATAAATCTTGATAGGGCAGCGATTTGACCAGTCAACCTTTGGACCTGCTTCTTAGTAGTCAGTTGTTCAGGTATCCCATCGATAGCCTTGATTTGGTCTGGGTTGACTTCAATCCCTCGTTGTGACTCTACGAAACCCAAAACCTTTCCCGAGGCTATGCGAAATGTGCATTTCTCTGGGTTTAGTTTCATCCCCTATCGTCTTAGTACGTCGAATGATACTCTCAAGTGGTCAATATGGTCTTCTGCCCTCACGAATTTGACCAGCATGTTGTCAATATATACCTCCATGATTTTGCCAAGTTGGTCTTTGAACATTCTCATGACCAATATCTGATAGGTAGCTCCTGCGTTCTTCAACCCGAACAGCATGACCCTATAACAATAAGTTCCTCGGTGGGTGATGAACATGGTTTTCTCCTGGTCTTCCATGAGTATCTGGTTATAGCCCGAGTATGTGTCCAGGAAACTTAGCAGCTCGTGCCCGACCATTGCGTCGATGAGTTGGTAGATATATTGCAACGAGAATGAATCCGTCGGGCATGCTTTGTTCAAGTTTATAAAATCTACACACATCCTCCATTTCTCATTTTTCTTTTTGACCATCACCATGTTGGCTGTCCAATCGGGGTATTTCGACTCCCTGATGGATCCATTTTCTAATAGTTTTTCTACCTCCTCGTGGACGACATCATTGATGGCAGGGTTGAACTTTCGTTTGACCTGCCTTATAGGGGGATAGAATTGTTCGACGTTCAATTTGTGTGTGGCGATCTCCTTGGAGATGCCTGGCATATCTGCATGGCTGAAGGCAAACAAATCTGCACTAGTTCTTAAAAATTGGCTAAATTTACCTGGTTCTTGGAGTTTGCAACCGATGTAGGCCTCTTTGCTGGGGTTACTGGGATCCAATTGAATGGGATCAAGGTCCTCTATAGTTGAGTCCGCGGCTTCGACCGTTTCAAGTTCCATAATGACATCCCTGGTCTCTTCGTGTGTCGACCTCAACCCTGTTGATTGCTATGCTTTTTTCCCTATCTTTCTTTTGTTGGGTTGTTGAGTCATCCATGGTGATGCGGTAGCATTCCCGGGACGTGCGTTGTTCCCCTCATATGATGAATATTCCCCATGGTGTTGTGAACTTGATCACTTGGTATAGGATCAATGGGACGACTCTCATGGGATGTGTATCCATGGTCGTCCTACTATGGCATTGTATGCGGTGGCCTGGTCCATGATGTGGAACGTTGTCTCCAGAATTATGCCGCTGGTGAGGATATAGAGTGTAATTTCTCCCGAAGTACGTTCAACTGCATTTTTAAAACTAGTTAGTGTGATGCAGCGTGACACTATCTTGTCCTCGAGTCTCATCTGGGCGAGGACTCGGGGATGGATAATGCACACTCCGCTCCCATCATCTACCATAATGCGTTTAACATCAGTATCTGAAATTCGTAAAGTAGTGAGAAGAGCATTTTTGTGAGGGAAAGTCAAACCATCGGCATCTGACTCGTCGAAGATGATACTTTTTTCGAGTCCGTCATATCGTTCGTGATTGATCGATCTTTTGAGCTTGTGAGTGGCAGTGAACTTGGTACCGTTAATGGAGGCATCATCGTTGTCGCCAATAATCATATTAATGGTGCGGGCTGGTGAGGGCGGGCCTTGACGTTCTCGACCCCTGGTGAAGGTGTTCCTTCCCTTGTCGCTCAGCAACTCTTTGAGGTGCCATTGCTGCAACATGTTCACTACTTCTTTCCTTAGGGCAATGCAATCTTCTGTTTTGTGCCCGCGTTCTTGGTGGAATTCGTAGAGGGTGTCAGATTTTCTGGTGCTTGGATCGGACCTCATCTTTGGCGGCCACTTTACCTTTTTTCCAAGTTTATCTAGGGCGTAGACTATTTCTGTAGGTGAAACACAAAAGTTGTGAGCAAATAACAGGGGGGCATACCTCTCTCGTTCTTGTGAGTCCCCGTTCTCGGCCTATATGGGTCATCATCATAGCGGAAGGAATGAGGTACGTGTTTGGCCGTGAAATTGGGTGATCCCTCCTGTTATCTCTTCATTCTTTCCTGGGTTTTGCTTGTACCGAGATGAACCATCGAGTCGGTTCGTTGAGGTCGTCATCATCTGCCCGGACTTGGGCACAATAGTCATTATGGATTTCGTCCCAAGTGGTTGGAGGGTACTTCATCAACCAACTTAGCAGCTTTCTGGTCGCTCTTGAACCCTCTCTGCCCAACCCGTTCTGAAAAGCTGCAACTGCCATCCCTTCAGATACATTTGATAAGGTCATCCTTACCCTGTTGAATCGGGCGAGGAAGTCCCTTAGTCCCACTCCTAGGGATTGCTTGATGGCAAAGATGTCGTTTACTCTTGTTTGGGCTTTCTTAGCCCTGGCATGCTCTGTCACGAACTTATCGGCCATTTCTTCGAAGGTTTCTATAGAGCAGACTGGTAGTTATGAATACCATGTTAATGCCCATCCAGTGAGGGTTTCGCCGAATTTCTTCAACAAAATGGAGGACACATGTTCCTTGGTGAGGTCAATACCCTTCACAGCGGTGACGTAATGAGTCACGTGATCTTCGAGGTCGGTTGCTCCGTCGTATTTCCTAAGATATGGTGGCATTTTTAAGGTCGTTGGTATGGCATGTGGGGCCACTTCCTCACTATACGGCTGCTCTACGAACCTGCCGGTGTCCCTCATCGGCAGTAACTTAGGGGCGCCCGATATCTTGTTTACTCATTCTTGGTGTTCTTTTATTTGGTCTCAAAGCATTTTGTTTTCATTTTCCATTTCTTCCATCCTATTCAAAGTAGCGGCGAGGACGTCGTCACCTAAACTATCAGTAACATTATGGGTTATACCTAGCGTTGGAGGGTCTAGTTGATCGCCTTGTTTGTCTCCTCGCTGTACCGTGTGGGCTCTCGCGATTTCTACGGTCGTGCATGGAGCTTGTTTGTTGAGCACACTTACTAATGTATCGGTCAACCACGCTTCGAGGAGATTTTTCATGGCAGGAGGTATCCTTTCTCCTATGGACGTTGAGGCCCCTTTTCCATTTGGTTTCATTGTGCTACAATGAGGGGGAGGCGACTTCTCGTGCCTGGGGGAGGCAGTGGGTGTCACATCATCGCCCAGCGTTTCATGTCTCTCGTTCATAGCATTCATGAGGTTGTCGGGGATGTCACATGTCACCTTAGTTCTATCTCGGTTACCTGCCATGTAAATTCATATACGTGCAGGGAAGGAGAAAAAATTTGTGGTTTGTTAGGTTAGCAAAATCACGTGAGTTGTAGATCTAATGAAAGCTAAAAGATTAGCTAAGAAATCCCCAAAGACGGCGCAAAAATGTTTGACCCAAAATTTAGATCTGGGCTTAGACAATTAGATTTAATAAAATAGAGCCAATCTTAGCCAATATTAATGGCCAAAAGATATATTAACTGATTTGTAGTAAGATAATACGTATATTGTCCAGGTAGCAATGAATATTGATAACACTAGCGATATTCAATGGCCCAAAAGAAGGGGATAGCATTCAATAACAATAAATAGCAATGAATGACATTTAAGTAAATATGAACATGTGAGTCACCCAAAAAGGGTGAGATCTGTGGATGTTCTTTCTGACAATGATGAATGATTGATGAGTCTTCGAATGTTCAGATTGTTCTTGGATCGAGTGGAAAAGTTAGGCAAGAATCTTAGAAAAAATATATATATTTTGTACGTGTGCAATAAAGCAAGATTCTACAGAGAAACCTGCATTTTCTTAACTATGTCTCTTTCTATTTATAGGGGATCACATGTCTAAAAACCCTAATAATACAGACCCAGAGAATATTCATAGGAATAGTCTCCCTAAAGTCTTATCTAAAACTAGCTGTTATTATTCCTTTTTAAGAGGAGTGCTCGTCCTCGGCCTTAGCATGTGATGACTCCTCGACCAAATCCTTCGTCTCTCACTAGATCACTTCGACCTTGGATTCGCCTCTTTGTTGAAGTCATATTGATGATACGTGGAAGCTGTCACGACCCCAAACCCGGTCGTGGTGGCGCCCAACACAATTGCTAGGCAAGCCTGACCACAGTCGTTCCCAAATCAACCGTAAACCTCAAAACCGACAATTTAAAGAGAATATAATAGTTTTAGAATAATAATCCAATATTTATCGAAGAATAATACTGAGAAATACGAAGTCTGATAAAAACACTCCCAAAAGATCTGGGGTCACGAGTCTAGAGCCTCTAAAACAATCTGAATAACAATATCTGAACGAAAATACTCAAGTCTGGAAATGTATATATATAAATAAAACTGAAATAGGAAGAGTAGTCAGGTCCTGGGAACGTCAAGCAGCTACCTCAACAACTCTGATAAGCTCTGGAAAACAAAGACTGCTCAGCTAAGCCTCCGGTGCACCTGAATCTGCACACAAGGTGCAGGGAGTAGGGGTGAGTACTACCGACTCAGTGAGTAATAAGCATATAAAATGTCTGAAGATAAGAAATCCACGAAATGCCACAAAGCAAAGCTAAAACTAACAGTCCGACATCTTACTACGAACCAACAGCAAAACAACTTCAAATATAACAGTCAAGTAAAATGTAAGGAGGCAATGTAATGCACATGAACACGCTGTGGCGTACAGCCCGATCCATTTAACGTCGACGGCGCTCACTGGGGGTGTGTACAGACTCCGGAGGGGCTCCTTCAGCCCAAGCGCAATATAATCATACCATTCGCTGCGGCATGCAGCCCGGTCCATACTCAGTCCACAATATGCATATGAGTCACGTAACAGATTCAATTAATTTCCCAATTTCCAATTTATTAAGAAGAATATACTTTAGATATTTAACTTCAGGAAAAGTGACTTAGCATTTCATAACAGTGATTAAACACAGGACTGAGATCAATGATTATACAAAGCATGTTATCACAATGACATTCATCCTCTAAGGATGCTACAGATCGGCACAAGGCCCCAAACACGGCAATAAGCCCAGATATATTCAATACAGGGTGCGTATCAGTCGCCAATATAGAAACATTCTTGTTCGGGATGGACCAAGTCACAATCCCCAGTCATAACCAATCCCGCACCTGCCATGGGGTGCGAGTCACGCCCTACAATAGCGTCACAATGTGATAAGCCGGGGTTTCAAACCCTCAGGCCATCATATACACCAACTACTCACCTCTAACCGGCCGTAGAATGGTCCGCAATGCCTTTTCCTTTCGTATCGACCTCCTAGTCAAAATCACAATGAATACATAAATATGGGTTAAAGAAACATAACCCAATCAAAAATACTCGAAAAGTACTAAATTCACGAAGTTGGTAAAACCCGAGCCCCGGGCCCACTTCTCGAAAAATTCCGAATATCACACCAACGGAGTCCTCGTCTCGCCACGAGTCCGTACATATAAAGTTTACTGAAAACGGAGCTCAAATGGTCTTTCAAATCCTAAAAATTCATTTTCAAAAACCAAGCCCTAGTTCTTCACAATTTCTACCCACTTTCATGAATTTGAGTGTTGATTCTTCCATAAAATGGTGTTTTCTAGTCAAGAGACTTACCTCAAATCAATACCCGTTGAAAACCCTCTTCAAATCGTTCAAAAAGCTCTCTTGGCGGAGTAAAAATGGTGGAAAAATAATGTGGGTCGCGGATATAAGGGTTTTAAACATTCTGCCAGATTACTGTAGCGACCCCTATGCGATCGCATCACTACCCCTGCGATCGCATAGGCCAAAATTTCCAGGCCCTCAATTCCTCTTACGCGATCGCAGGACAGGCCATGCGATCGCATAGCTGTCTCCCCCTTCTACGCGATCGCATTACTTCCCACGCGACCGCACTGCCAATCTCCTCAACCTATGCGATCGCAGACCCCTATACGTGATCGCATAGAGCAAATCTTCATCCCCCTCTGAACCTTCTATGCGATCACAGGCATACCTACGCGATCGCATAGAGGAAAATTCCTCTGCAATTTCTGCTGCACTTTTTCATGTTCAAAACTCCCCGTTAGCCATCCGAAATCACCCCGAGGCCCTCGGGACCTCAACCAAATGCACAGATATGTTCTATTACTTCATTCAAACTTGCTCGTAACATAAAAACACTATCATAAACACCAAAATCATCGAATTACCACGGATTCAAGCCTAAGTTAAACTAAAACTTCCGAAACTTGCATTTGATCTAAAACCCGACCTAAACACCTCTGAATGATCTGAAACTTTGCACGCATAACCAAAATCACCTAACGGAGCTACTGCAACTCTCGGAATTCCATTCCGACCCTTGGATCAAAATTTCACCTACCATCCGGAATTCGCCAAAATCCAACCTTAGCCAATTCAAGCCTAATTCTAAACCGGACCTCAAAATTCAATTCCGATTGCGCTCCTAAGTCACAAATCATCCCCCGAAACTAGTCGAATCATCGGAAATCCATTCCGAGCCTTCTAACTCATAAGTCAACATTCGGTTGACTTTTCCAAACTAACCTTCTCATAAAGAGACTTATTGTCTCATTTCTAACCGAACTCTATCCGAATCACTTCAAATTCTCCAAACACATATAATGAAACATATAGAAGCATAAAACGGGAAAACGGGGCGGTAACTCCCGTAACGACGGGTCGGGTCGTTACAGAAGCTCTCGAAGGCCCTCTTAATGCTGATATGATCTGAACATAACTAAGTCAATTTTTGACCCATATAGTTGTAAACTGAATTTTGAACTGCACCNAACAAGTCATTTGTCACGACCCAAAATCTAACATTGGTCGTGATGGCGCCTATCGTGTCACAAGGCAAGCCTATTCCAGAAATATTACTACTCATTTGATTATAAGAATTTAATAAAATATTTTCAATAATTTAATTCCTAATAAACTAAACCAACTCTAAATATAAATAATATAAAATACAGAAACGAGTCCCAAACATCGGGGTGTCACTAAGTCATGAGCGTCTAAAACTATGAACTGAGATATATAAACTGTCTAACTGTCCAAAGAAGAAATGATAAAAGGAGTAACAAGGTCATGCGAACGCTGGCAGCTACCTTGCAATCTCCAATTAAAGCCGGCCTGAACTCAACGATCGGCGCGCTCTAACTCACCTGGATTTGCACATAAAGTGCAGGGTGTAGTATGAGTACAACCACCTCAGTAGTAACAGAAATAACTAAGGAACTGAGCAGTAGTGACGAGCTGAGCAAAATAGTCCAATTATTTATTTTTTTCACAATTTTAAAAATAACAGGAATGAACAGGTAAATTCCATAACTCGGTAAATGCCACAAAGAAATTTAACAGATAAATGCAGCAACAGCAAAAGTTAATGCAACCTCACAGCAACGTCACTCCATCACTCAGCACTCCACACTCAACACTCAATAC